ATTCTTAAATACCTCAGACATGAGCACTTCTTATAATTATTGTTGGTAACCACAAGTGTTTACATGCTACCTTTTTGCCATAAACTCTGAATTCAAAGATTTCCAATGTAGCTTTTGTAACATGTTTGAGGGGATACTGCATGTCCTTTTCTTTCCCAGTAATTTCTACAAAAAATTAAATGACAGCACTTTGGAATGAGAGGGATTATCTTAAAATAGAATTGCTGGACTTAGATCTCAAATTCTTGGATATTAACAACTTAGTCTCTAAATACATCTGTAACTTGGAGGTGGGTTGAAGCATGGGGTGTACAGGAAGCAGAACGACTTGGGATAATACCAGACATAACAGTCATCAACACCCCCAGAAATAACACACACTGTAGAAATCCTCAAGTATAAGTTGGATTTTGCTAAACAATTTGCTTTAGAATCTAACAAAGTGTCATCTATTAAAGCAAGTTCCCTGAACCCATGAAGTCCTGTGAACCCTGGATTGGGCATTTTTAAAATGAACTCTCTTAGTTTGGAATAATTTTAAATTTTACAAAAGTTGCAGAGATGATATACAATATTTCCCAATACCCTCACCCCTAGTGTTTGTTAGCTTTTATATTAGCAATGGTAGATTTATTATAATTACTGCACCACTACTGGCCCACTGCTATTAACTAAATTTGGATTTCACTAGTTTCCCCATTGTTGTCCTTTTATTCTGGCATCTAACCCACATTCATTTAATCATCATGTCTCTTTAGTCTTTGCCCTGTGAGAGTTACTTCAGTGTTGTTTTTAAATTTTTTTATGACCTTGACAGTTTTGAGGAGTCACAGTCATTGTTATGGTTTGGATCTTAAATGTCCCACCAAAACTCATGTGTTGAAGGCTTGGTCCCAGCTGGTGAAGCTAGTGGAAGGTGGTGCAAACTTCAGGAGGTGGGGCCTAGTAGAAGGAAGTCAGATCACTGGGGGTGTCCTTGTAGGGCATCCTGGGACCCTGGCATCTTCCTGTCTTTCTTTGCTTCCCAACTACCATGAGGTAAGTAGGCCTTCTCTGTCATATACTTCTTGCCATAAAGTACTGTCTAACCACAAGCCCAAACTGATGTAGCCAGTTGACCATGGACTTCTGAAATTGGGAGCCAAAATAAATCTATCCTCCTTTTAAGTTGATTTTCTCAGGTATTTTGTCACAGTGCAGAAAGCTAACTAAAATGGTCATGCATTTTATAGAAAAATTTTAAATTTTTTCTGTAACTTTATCTACACCTTGAAGTTTGGTAATAACCACTTTGGAAGTCAAACAAAATAAACCAGAAATTGTGAAAAATAAAGTTATGAAATTGTTGTTTTAAAGAGTTATTACTAGGACTGGGGATGTGGCTCAGTTGGTAGAGTGCTTGCCTAACTTGCACAAGGCCCTGGGTTTCAATCCCTAGCACACACACACACACACACACACACAAAAAAAAAAAAAAAAAAAAAACAAGAAAACAATTATTACTATTTTCTTCATGGCACCTCCAGATTAAAAGCTCCAGTGGTTCAGGAGGTTGAGACATGAGGATTGCAGGTTCAAGGCCAGCCTCAGCAACTTAGCAAGGCCCTAAGCAACTTACTGAGACTTTGTCTCAAAATAAAAAATGAAAAGGGCTGGGAATGTGGCTCAGTGGTAAAGTGCCCCTGGGTTCAATCCCCAGTATTAAAAAATTATCAATAAATAAAAATAAAATGGACTGGGGATGAGGCTCAGTGGTAAAGTGCTCCTGCCTGGGTTTGATTCCCAGTACAAAAAAAAGTTCCAAAATGCAGAGAACCCTCATGGTCCCATAGACAAGAGAGAAAAATAACAATGGTAGAAATTAGTAATGATTCCTAAATAAAGTATCTATAATTCACCTAAAAACTAGAATAAAATGTATTTATTGAAAGCTTTCTCTATGCTAGGCTGTGGGTATAATTTTCCCCCTTCAAAAGACATAAAAATAAATGGTGAAATGTTTACTACAAAGCAATACAGTCGGTAGATGGCAGAGCTGAGACACCAACAGATCTATCTAATTCTCTACAGAGAGGATTTGGGCATGCCATTCAGATAATTACTGCTTTTTCCTCCTTGAGCTTTACTGAGGTATAAGTGACAAATAAAAATTGTATATATTTAAGATGTACAGAGTGTTTATGAACTTTTGTGTATATGTCAGCTAGCTACCTCTATTAGATCTCAAAAGCCATGAGTGAGTGGCAGGTTATTCACTGTTATGTGTCCTATGTCTGGTACGTAGTAGGTATTCAGCAGATGAGGTCTGAGTACATCTGACCTAATTTCTATTTGGTGATAAGGAGGAACATTAAGCACAACACATTTTCTCCCATTGTCTAATTATACTTGTGTTCCCAATTAGGTAAAGAATTATAAATAGAATTTCAAGTAAAATTTCAGTCTACTGAAAGTGGACTTTTAAAATGACAGAGTCTACATTTGGGGATGATGAAAATATGTGTAAGTAAACCTGTTCCAAGCAATAGAATTTAGTTTAAAAAAAAACATAATAAGAAGTCTAAGAGTAGAAAGCAAATCTCAAAAGCCAAGCATTTTCTTCGTTGCCAAGATTAAGATGAAACTGTGTTGTCCAATGCTAGATCCTTCTTAGCACATAAAAAAAACCCCACTATTCTGAAATAGTTGTTCTAAAGCAAATAAAGGATGAGATTGCCAATTTTATTACACTTAGACAAAAGCCCTTCAACACACTTTATTGTAAATGGCCTTTTAATGGCATAAGCAAACCTGGATTACAGACTTTAAACCATAAAGAAGAGAACAAACATAATGTCAATATAATAAAAATCCATTTTAAAGTCCACCTCTTTCAGTCAATGTGTGAAAAAGTTTTAAATCACATCTTCCTATGCATTAAATGTACTTCATAATATGCCAATCCATTAGTTCATTCCATCATCAAATATTTATTTAGTGCCCATTATGTGCCAGCTTTGCTAGGGACCATAGCTAAGAACAAAACAGATGAGAAATGCTGTTGTCATAGAGCTAAGAGTCCTTGGGAGAGAGTGATCAATTAACAAATACAACAAATGGATGTTAGATGGTGATAAATGCTGGGAAGAAAAATAATTCATGGAAGGGACTCCAGGTTGTAATTTAAGGTAGGATACTTTCTCACTGAGAAAGTGAACTTGAGCAAAGACCTGATCGAGATCAGCAAGCTCAGATACATCCATCAGGAAGAGCAAAGCACAAGTGCCAATGCCGAGGTAGAACTGTGGTGTGTGTGTGTGTGTGTGTGTGAAGGCACAAGCAAGCCACAGCAAAGTGAATATAAAGGGTGGAGTGTCGTAAGAGATGTGGCCAAAAAAATAAAAATAAATAAAATAACTACAGAGCAGTGGAAGTTTGAGATGGAGATGATTATGTAGTATCTTATATATGATTCTGAGTGCTTTGGCTTTTACTGAGGGAGATGAGAAAATGCAGAAAAGAGATTTTAAAGTATGGCCTGCTGTTTTGAGAATCAATTATGGGAAAGAGGGCCAAGAAATCATACAGATGAGAAGGTGGTGGTGACTTGGATATATAATGGTAACATGTAGAGAGGCTGAAATGTGACTACATTCTGAATGTAATTTCAAGATAGAACCAACTATTGGCAGATGGAATGTGGGATATGAAAAGGAGAGAAGAATGGTGATTGAAGCAACTTCTGGACACCAGCAATGAGATGGATGGATGAAATTAATATTTATGAAATCAGAAAGGCTGTGGTAAGAACAAATTTTAGGGGAAAGGATATAAACTGAAAGAAGTCCTAGTAAAAATACTGACTTTTTTTTTTCCTGGAGCTAGGCAAGTTAATATTAAAAGTTATCTGGAACATCAGGAATGCAATGCTCACAAACCACTGAAGAAGTCAATACAAAGGAGAAGTAGTTCTAATTTACACTAAAACATACTACATATCCACTATAACTAAAACAGTATGGTTCTAATATTTGAGCAGCGGGATGGCCCAATGGACCTATAGGGAATTGCCAAATAGACATATGGAAATTAAGTACACGATAAAATGTTAACTAAAATCACTAGGGAGAAGAAGAGCTTTATATTAAATGGTGTTTGGAAAACTGGGTAGTCATGTGGAAAAATCAGATCCCTACCTCATACTATATACAACAATAAATTCCAAGTGAATCAACAAAGCTGATGAACTTCACAGATTATCAATTTCTAAATGAATTTTGCTTTCACTGTATATACTAGAACCTAGCAATCATGTCTCTCTAAGCATCTTCCCTTGAGCTCCTTCTGGGGCTTTCTCTACCTAACAAAAGATCAAAATCCCTCTCTTTAAAACTCTTCTGCATCCACTGCTCTTGAGGTGTGTTCTATATTCCTCCAGCACCTCAGCCATCACTTGTTTAGCAGCTAGTGATATTTTCATGGTGCAGGGCACTAGATCTTTCTACAATGGTTACCTCTGATAATGTGATTTCCAACTGTGAAGCAGTTCTATAGAATATACACCCCTGCCTTGTGATTTCCCATCCCTGCTCTCCTTGAAGAGCATACAGTCCAGAATAAAGAGAGGTAAAGGGAAATAGTCTCACTGAATGGGGATGGGGAGTCTAAATTTGTTTTTTCTTTAATAGGAGAAGTAAAACATTTAAAAATATTATCAGCTTTCATTAGCTTCCTCCATCCTTTCTCTTTGGTAGTAGGTAAGGATATTATCTTTCTAGATCAAAGCCTTGGGTGAACTAAATTCTTCTCCCTTGCCAAGTTGATGAATCTTTGCTCTTGGCAGAATCCTGTGGAAACACACCAGTGAACAGGGAAGTGAACTTAGCTTTCCCACGCATGGAATGTTATTACATGCCACCTTTCAGGCTTCCTCGAAAAAGTTAATTTTTAATTAATAACAATGTGCATACTTCGGATCTCAAATATAAATCAAAACGTAGGCAAAATGCTCGTATACTTACAGTTTTCTCATTATTTTCAAAAGCTTCCCTGGCTTCTTCGAATGTGCAGACTTCTTCTTTGCACTCACGTTCAATGTTGCCCTGTCTTATTTCTTCAAAAAGTCCATTAGCTCTTCGGTAGCGTTTTAATACTGAATTGGCTCTTTCTCCCGTGAGGAAAACTAAAAAGAGATATAATAATAAGCATAAAAATGGAATGAAAATTCCATAAGGTAAATTACAATACAAGATGGAAACTGCCAGATGTTCTTCAGATAACACAGGCAACATCCTAAACCTCTTTGTGTGAGTCAGCAATGAAGTAACACTTAGCTCACAAGCACTGCATCTGCTAGCTTCCTCATATGTGAGTGTGTCCTTTCAGTAGCAGTTGCCCCATGACATAATTTACCATGTTATATTCAAACTTTAGCACATTCCTGCCGAGTATGAGTGTTTAAATATAGTAATAATGATACCACTACTTATATTCATTACAGTAAGTGGATACCCCAAGGCATTCGGCTGCTGGACAGCAGCAACCAAATCTAAATTCAGACTGTAGAAGTCTTTCAGTATTTGTCCATCTAACTAAGAAGAAATAGACCTGCAATTGACCTAATAATACTTACCCAGAGAACCCTGACTTCAAAAGAAGTGACAAAACAATAATAAGAAGTTAAGATCAATTTGGCTATAATTCCTTCCAAGGAAACACTAATAGTAATTTTGTTCTAAATGCACTTAAGTATAGTGTGGTGACACTTTACCACACCCCAAACTCATTTTACTGTCCTTCTTAAGGAAAAGGAAATTATTTTGCATAACTTTTAGAGGCATTTCATATAAACATTCAAAACATGTTTATGACGCCCAGTATAATAAATTAGGCAATAGTTATATGTGCTCTTATGGTGCATTCTTTTTATTTTTATACACTAATACAATTTAAGCTGTACTTTAACAATGTTTTTCTAAAAGTGTCTTGCTTGTTGGAGACATAAATTTAATACCACCAGAATTTAATCTCTGTTAATGTTAAAAGATTAGAAAATTTCCTAATTTTATGAATTTATAAAAAATATGGGAGAAGGCATGAAACAGATTTGGGGGGGGTATCAGGGATTGAATCCAGGGGTGCTTTACCACTGAGCTACATCTCCAGTCTTTTTTATTTATTTATTTTATGTTGAGAGAAGATCTTGCTAAGCTGCTGAGGTTCTCACTAAATTGCTGAGGCTGGCCTTGAACTTGCCATTCTCTTGCCTCAGGCTCCAAGTTGCTGGGATTGCAGGCATGTACCACCATGCCTGGCTCAAAACAGATATTTTAAGATGATAAAGTGAAAGTTCTCCATTTTCCAAATTTCAAGTATTTTTTCAAAAAAAAATTTTTAGTTGTAGATGGACACAGCACCTTTATTTTATTTATTCATTTTTTAAAATGTGGTGCTGAGAATTGAATCAGTGCCTCACACATGCTAGGCAAGCACTCTACCACTGAGCCACAACCCTAGTCCCTCAAGTATTTTTAAAAGAAGACAATGACAGTGAATTTATGTTTTACCTCATTATTTAAATATATATTTCAGTTTAAAGAAGATACAGATTAATTATTTAGGATTCTTTAAAGTATCCAAATTAATATCAGCTAGATGGTACTTACACTAGGGTAAAAACCATGGTTGGCCTTCAATAAGTATTTCTTTTATTTTACACCTTGTATGGGAAACCATCTATAAAATGAATTGAGTTATATAATATCATTAGAAAAATAATTTAAAAATACAAATTATGGAAAATGCTATGAAAGAAACCAAAAGGGCACTGTTGAGTTGGAGAATAACAACAGAATTTACTAGAAGTGCTTTTCACATTTTTGGCAACATCAGAATCTCCTAGGACTCATTATTACACAGATTGCTGGGACTTATCAGCAGTTTCTAATTCCAATGGTCTTGGCCAGAGTCAAGAAATTACATTTGTAATCAGTTCCCAGGTAATGTTGATGTTACCATTCTCATTATCACAATTTGAAAATTACTACTCTAATGCCAACTCCTTAGAAAACTAGTTCTCAGGAAGTTGTTTATGGAATGCGTTAACAAATTTAAAGAGAAATCTTACTACGTGATGTTTTTAGGGCCCTTAATATATATTTAATATATACTTGCACATCCCCTGAAAGGGAGCATGGTATATGCATTTGTCATATTTTTTGACTACAGTGGTCTTTTTCAAGAGACATTTCACTGAATTACAACTTCATAGCCATTAGTCTAAATTGGCTCTAATACAACCTAAGTCTCCTCCAACTAGCACATGAAGAAAGGCAGTAATTGTTTTCCCTTGGGGCTTCTCTTTTCCAAGGTAAACAGGTCTTTTTTCTTCATCTGTTTGTCATATAAAGTGAATATCTGCACCATCTTTCTCTCAAAAAATAGTGTCCTATGTTAAGTGCAATAATCTGTATATGGTCTGACAAGTGCAAAGTTGATCAAAACCATAAACTTCCTTGTTTTTAAACAAAGAACATTTACTAGTGCAGTTTTAAGCTATCTCTGGGTTTTCAATCTGTTTTCCTGAGGAAAAAACAAAAAATCAGCAATAATGTATTTTGAAGGCAGAAAGATCAGCAAAGTAGAGGGAAAGGGTTGGGGGTCAGGGGAGGGGAGGGGAAGGAGAGGTACTAGGGACTGAATTAGAACAAGACATATTCCATGATTTTATAATTATGTCAAAATGGATTCTACTGTCATGTAACTAAAAATAACCAATAAAATAAAAAAGAAGACAAGATATGAGATAATGTCTTCTGGATTTGGCAGAAATTCTAATGTTCCTTGGTAATAATACACCAGCATTCAAATCTTTAATCATCATCATCATAATAATGTACTTTGAGCTTTTAGGAGGAAAACTTACAAAACACTACAAAGAGAAAATATTTTTTCTTGCATGCTAGCTAAATAGAAAATAAGAGTTAAGGAAAACGGTTAACTCTAACCAAACAGACTAATTCAGAAGGATAAGTAACTGGGAGGTAATGAAGCAGGACACAAGATCTTCTAATCCCAGCCTAATCAAATTACCAAGAGCATTCCATAAACATCTCCTATGTATTTCTTGTACCAAGAGGCAATGTAATATAATACTGGGAACTCTAGATGGACTAAGCTGGTGAATATATCTTATCTCACTTGCCAAATACAGTCAATTAAAAGATATTACTTGGAGTAAAAATCTGACCAGCAAGAAAGAAAGACATTACTATAGATTAGTTATGGCCACCAGATACTAAAGAACAGGAATTGGTGGCAGAGCATTTGCCAGTCCTTTTCAAAGTAATCTGGAAATCTAATGAATCTTACATGATAACACCAGAATTAGAATTCTTTTTTTCAATGTGGAAAATAAAGGAGAAGGTTATAGCTTTGACTTATAGGATGAGATCAGATCATCTCCTTTCAAAAACAATGGGCAATTTCCAGGTTGGAAGGACTAGGATTAGAACTTCAAAATTCAAAACTAGGGGCTGGGAGTGTAGGTCAGTGATAGTACTTAGCACTTGTCAGGCCCTGGGTTTAATCCTCGGCACCAAAGGGGGTAAAAAATCAAAACTAAAGCAATGATGTTTGACACTTTAGTTGAACACTTCCCTCTACTTCCTTCTTCTTAAATTGTGTGAGTTAACCCACAGCTGTCAAGAATCACATGCATGTCTTAACCATAGATTACATGATGTGACAAATGTACACAATGTAAATGTGCCTTGAGATGCTACTTAGAACACGTAGTTTTCCTTTAATAGGAAATAAAGTAAAACCTAAACCTTTTTTCAGATTCAGTTGAAATTACTTACAGAAAATATTTCAAATCTAAGATTGATAAACTCACAAATATGTTCATTAAAGAATAATAACCACTTTTTCATAGTGGTTAATAAATAAGCTCTCATGCTTTCTCTTCAAAAGAAAACAATGGAAACAAATGAAATAAGAGGGCTACTCAATTTATTCCCTAAATTACTGACTTAAGCCAAAATATTTGATTGTCCCATCCATTTTATATTTAATGCACTGAAGGTTACTAAAATTGACATTTTAATGTAAACAATCTTTAGCTAAGTGAGATCGTGTCCATAAATTTGCTGAAAAACAGCAGAGGATAGGGCCTAAAAATTAACAGCCTCTTTGGAAAAACCTTTACTCCAATTATCTAATTGGGTCTCTTATCTTGGGCCCAATATCATTGAAGGAGCCAGTATTTAATGGTTACATTTTTATTTTAAGTGAACAAAATTATTTTTCTTAGGACATATTTACTGTATGCAATGAGAATATGACAAGTCACAAAGATGAGTAGCAGATGATCTCTGCTCCAAGGTTCTTCAATGCAAGAGGTAACAAAGATAAAAGATACATAAAAACTCTGCTGTAAGACTGAACTTTGATATTCTTTGAGGTCTATTTCCACTAGATACATGTGCATTTAGAAGTGAGGGGAAGCACCTGGGGAAGGGTCCCTGAAAAGTATACCTGAGCTGGTTTTTCAAAGAGTGGCAGGATTGGAACGTGCAAAGCTGGCAAGAAAAGATATCCTAGGAAAACAAAACAATGAGAAATGGCTTGGAACTGAGCAAAGGGACACAAATGAGGCACAATGAGCTGGTTAGTAGGGCCAGAGTAGAAGATTCAAAATAGCTGGGAAATGCAACTGGAAACTGGCCAATTTCCAGGTCATGGAGGCACTTAATGTTAGGCTTACACATTTTGAACTATTTAGTAGCCAATCAAGGTTTTGGATCAATAGTTGGGGCAGGCGGGGTGGTGGGCAGTGGGGAGTAATCTAGAAAACAGTGTATATACACACAACAGGTTGGGGAATAGAATGATGGGTAAAGGCCAGGAAAAGACTGCTTACAATAGGCCAGGCTAAGAAATAATGAGCCAGGTGAAGTGGTGCACACCCACAATCGTGGCGCACACCCAGGAGGATCACGAGTTCAAAGGCAGCCTTGGCAACCTAGCAAGGTGCTAAGTAACTCAGTGAGACCCGTCTCTAAATAAAATGCAAAAAAGAGCTGGGGTGTGGCTCAGTGGTTGAGGGCCCCCGACTCCAATCCCTGGTACAAAAAAGAAAGAAAAAAAAGAAAAAGAAAGAGAGAAAGAGAGAGAGAGAGA